ATGAATCAGGATTTAGCAGAAGATTGTCACGGGTAGGAAGGTATTACTGTAAACGGTTTCTGGTTCCTAAAAGAGCTTCTCATCAGCCTGGCTAGCTCAGTCGGTAGAGCATGAGACTCTTAATCTCAGGGTCGTGGGTTCGAGCCCCACGTTGGGCGTTCCTGTTACTTTTCTCTCTCTCCCTCAGCAAACTTACATTAGGGTTCATATAGCAGACCTTTTGAGACAAAGTTCTGACTTTCTACCACTGTAGGTGACCTTTCACTAAGTCTCTGTGGTGCAATCGGTTAGCGCGTTTGGCTGTTAACTGAAAGGTTGGTGGTTAAAGCCCACCCAGGGACGAATTAAGCATTTTGCTGCCTTGCAACTGCTAAACCGTGCACTGGGCATATATCCTGGGCCACATTCTGTCCAGCGTTACAAGATGAAATCACGATTTAGCAGAAGATTGTCACGGGTAGGGAAGGTATTACTGTAAACGGTTTCTAGCTCCTAAAAGAGCTTTTCATCAGCCCCGCTAGCTCAGTCGATAAAGCATGAGACTCTTAATCTCAGGGTCGTGGATTCGAGCCCCACGTTGGGCGTTCCTGTTACTTTTCTCTCTCTCTCCCGGCAAATTTACATTAGGGTTCGTGTAGCAGACTTTGAGACAAAGTTACGCGTTTCTACCACTGTAGGTGACCTTTCACTAAGTCTTTGTGGCGCATTCGGTTAGCGCGTTAGGATGTTAACTGAAAGGTTGGTGGTTCAAGCCTACTCAGGGACGGATCAAGCATTTTGCTGCCTTGTAACTGCTAACACGTGCACTGGACATAGATCCTGGGCCACATTCTGTCCAGCGTTACAAGACGAAATCAGGATTTAGCAGAACATTGTCACGGGTAGGGAAGGTATTACTGTAAACAGTGTTTAGCTCTTAAAAGTTGATCTCATCAGCCCGGCTACCTCAGTCGGTAGAGCATGAGACTCTTAATGTCAGGGTCGTGGGTTCGAGCCCCACATTGGGCGTTCCTGTTATATTTTTCTCTCTCTCTCCCAGCAAACTTACATTAGGGTTCATGTAGCAGACTTTGAGACAAAGTTCCGCGTTTCTACCACTGTAGGTGACCTGTCACTAAGTCTCTGTGGCGCAATCAGTTAGCGCGTTTGGCTGTTAACTGAAAGGTTGGTGGTTAAAGCCCACCCAGGGACGAATTAGGCATTTTGCTGCCTTGCAACTGCTAACACGTGCACTGGACATAGATCCTGGGCCACATTCTGTCCAGCGTTACAAGATGAAATCAGGATTTAGCAGAAGATTGTCACGGGTAGGGAAGGTATTACTGTAAACAGTTTCTGGTTCCTAAAAGAGCTTCTCATCATCCCCGCTAGCTCAGTCGATAGAGCATGAGACTCCTAATCTCAGCGTCGTGGGTTAGAGCCCCACATTGGGCGTTTCTGTTACCTCTCTTTCTCTCAGCAAACTATCATTAGGGTTCATATAGCAGACCTTTTGAGACAAAGTTCCGCGTTTCTACCACTGTAGGTGACCTTTCACTAAGTCTCTGTGGCGCAATCGGTTAGCGCGTTAGGCTGTTAACAGCGTTACAAGACGAAATCAGGATTTAGCAGAACATTGTCACGGGTAGGGAAGGTATTACTGTAAACAGTGTTTAGCTCTTAAAAGTTAATCTCATCAGCCCGGCTACCTCAGTCGGTAGAGCATGAGACTTCCTATACTATACTTTTGGTTTCTACTATAAAATATTGCACTATGATTGAATACATTATTATATAAAATATTAAACATACTAGATTATGATTTAATGCATTAAGTCTGTTGTATTTTAATTAACTGTATTTGTAAATAGATATTGTTCAGTTACTTAAATATTTTCAGTCATTTATTGTTTTTGTTGTTGTTTTTTGTTTTTAAATCATTAAGGATTTATCAAACTCTTTAGTATTGAGTTGAGGGAATGAACATTATCTTATTATTCACAGAATAAATGATAGTACTCGGAGTAATTTTCTCACACCAAACTTTTTTTTTTTATAAATTTTCATGAGGTCCTACAAGTCATCGAGCTGTAAAAAATGCAGAGAAAAATTGTGAAAAACAATACTTGGATTAATAATGTATTTATTACATATAAAATAAAATAAAATGCTTTACATTCTTGTTGGGGAGATTTTTCATTTCTCGAGCAATTCTTCTGTTAAATTCCTCAACTTCACTAAAAAAAATAAATGCTGTTGTCAGAAATTGTGTTTAACATAAAAACTTAACAGCTTTTGTACAAAAAAAAAAATGTAAACATACCTTGCGTGATAAATGGGGCCCTGGAGGAAGACATCTTCAGCCTCCTGCCAAGACAAGCCTTGTAACTCGGAAATGCCATGAGTTATGGCCTGTACAAACATACAGATAAACCAATTAATAAAATAAAACACACACTGCAGAACATAAGCATGCTCATGTACAAACATGTTTTGTGATTACCTCTGGGAGGAGACATCCACAAATGAACTCCACCTCATCATTGAAGGTCAGCTGTGTTTTGGTTTTATTAAGAATTCCTCTGATGTAGTCACAAATGATTGACTGGGACTGCTCATTCTCAATGTAGACAGGCACTTGAGAACGGGGTTTTAGTGGAAACCAATTTGACCTTTTCCCACCGAGTATATCCTTTGGGCCATAGAAGGAAATTATATTTCATATGTAAATACACAAGTAATTAATTATATTTGGCAAATAATAGTTAAATTGTCACTTGATTATATTTAAGTCAACCATACTTAGAGTCTAGAGGAGTAATTTAAAGTGGAACCATCTATACCACCAAATGCTGCTCTGCTGATTTTGATGTGATAATCAAGTCCACTAATCTTTAGTCATTCCTTTCCCGATCTTGAACTGCTTGGACATGTGCCGGAAGATTGGATGTGGTTTTTCTTTTCACCCTAAAAAGGGGCAGAATCTTTCCATCCAAGACACTTCTTGCCTCCTTAGTCCAGAAAGTAAATCTGTGCCCATAGCTTTTAATAACAAGACAAGACAAAATCCATATTAACTGGTCACCGGTAAGAGAGATTTTAAGTATGTTTTGTTGTTCATGTTACAAGTTGTTGTACTGACACAATATAAATTTTTAATTTTACAGATTTTCAAGAAAAAATAAATAAATACTGACATACCCATCAATTTGAAATCGTTCCATGAGTAGAAGGCACCACCACTGACGGATGATAGGCATATCCATCTGAAAGAAAGACTGTTTAGTCTGACAGTTAACCAACATGTTTTTGTTAATACATGATGTTGGGTGTGCTTGCAATAACCATGCCCCTTTTTTTTTTTTAAAGATATGTTGCTTAGAAGAAAGCAAGATAATATACATTAAAATAGTTACATTTTAGCTATGATTAAGAAAAGCACAAACAAAATAAAGTTACATAAATAATAAAATAAAACCTCCTGGAATTGAAACCCAATGCCACACACCATTGAGAGGGTGTAGTGAAAAGAGAGAAGCCACAGTCATTTACAATGTTTACAAAATCTTTAAATCAATTAACTCAATTTATATCTTACCAAGAGTACAAAAACACCACAATCATCCCCTCTTGTCTGACGTGGCAAAGCCTAAAATAGGCAAAGCAAATCACTTTTATTTTAGAATAATGTACAAAAAATTTAATTGTTGTAAAAGTATAAAATATATTTTTTTTTTAAGTTGATTCCTCACTGGAAAATCATATCCAGTCTTTTCAGTCCATGTCCCATGATCCACTTGGTAAGCAATTTTCCTGTAAACAAAACATATTAGTAGTAATACTAACAATTACAGCTCACCTCAACTCTAGAACACCATGCATAAAAAAGGCTAGATGAACATAGCCAGAAGTTCAAGAAACGGCTATAGGAACGTAGCCAAAAGTGACAGAACTATAATACACGGTTAGGAAATAAATAGAAATGGCTATAGGAACGTAGCCATATATCACATAAAGGCTGAAACGTCTTAGTTTATTGATAGACCTAAAAATTGCCCTGTATTCCTCATCTCCAAATCCTGATTCATGCTCTGCGTACAGAGAGTCTAAGAACACCATCTCTCTTCGAAGCGGCATCATTATCTACAATGTTAAAGGTGTAAAAATATTTCATTTGAACATTATTGCTTCTTCCAAGATTTTTCAGTGTTTTATTTTAGAAACACACACATTGCAATACCAATTAATGTATGCACTAGACATTTTAATATTTTCTTACACAGACAACAAAGTGGTCTGGTCCATTGGCATTTGTCCATGCTGGAAAGGCTAACAGGTCTTTCAAGTCTGCATCTTCCTGAAATTAATCAGGACAGTTATGTTGTTTAATTTAGTTTGTACTTCTCACACAGTAAATACAGTACATACACGCACCGGTAATCCAGTAACAATGTTGTTAGGAGTTTCTTTCCACACAGGGACAACATAAAAGTCCTCAATGTATATGTCCTTGCCCTACATGAATAAAAAGAAACTGTTGACAATGACATGAACATTTTCACACAGTTTAGAATTTTTTTTTTTTTTTAAATTTGGATCAAGTTAAAACAATCTATATAAATATTATGTTTTATAGTACATACAATTTGTCGAGCCATTTCAAAAATAAGCTTCATGCAGGCGTTTCCAATCTGCAATAAATACTTTGATAAGTCAATGTTTTTAATAAAAAAAAAGTTATAATAAAAAAACAGACTGCTTACATGGGAGTCCATGTCCCTCAACAATCCAAGGCTCCAAAATTCTTCTCGAATAAGGCACACTTTCCCCTCCTTCACAATTATTTCACTGCCAGGGCGATTTCGGTCCAGCACATAATCAAGCTGTAATAATAATAGCAATAAATATGTGTGTGTGTTTGCGTTTGTATGTAATGGTAATTGTTCACCAGTTTCTCTTGTAATGGATGCCAGTCCCTCTCCCAAGGCTTAGTAGGTTCCAAAAAATTCAGAAGAGTGGTAGGTTCACAAGCTGTTTTTTCTTTAATTGGTACTGATGACAGAGGAGATGTGACTGATGTTTTGCCTGGTGATGCAGCGGTCGTTTGTAAAGTCACAATATTTTCTGGCAGTGCTGTCAGTGGTCCTTAGAGTACATTAAAGCATCAAAATTTGAAAATAACACATAATAATTAGAGAACAGAAACTTGACACTGAGCAACTGGAAAGAACAGTCAAATTACCAAGTGACATGTCCATGCATTTCTCTGTGGAGGATGGATTTTCTATAAATACAAATATACACATAAGTACAGTTATGGATAAATTGATGTATTTGTTACACAGTAAGGGAAACATTACCTAACACAACCTGGCTGTGGTCATTCATGTGAATGTTTGAGTTGAATTCCTTTTTTATGTCATGAAGACGTTTCTCGTTTTTTCTGACAGTGTAATGGTGGATGATGTTTCGCATGAGGAAAACATGTGTGGATGGCAATGCCATGTTCATAAAGTAGTTATTTTTCTTTAGCTTTGAAAAAAGCTGTTCTGCAGCCTGACTGTTAACTTTGCCAGCTAGTTGAGGCACAAGACGAAGCTTCCTCAGTGAATCACGAGGATCTTTTGTGTTGTCTTCGTGAAAGCGGTCATACAGAACATAGTGTTCTGCAGAACCAGTTATTGGATGACCATCCGGATCTGGACTTTGCTTTTTTGCAGTGAGCCATGGCAGAGTTACCTGTAATTTTCCTGATTTTGCTTTTGCCATATTTTCAGTGGTTGGTTCGAGTAACCTTCCCTCGAAAGGTGTGAAAGTTATGGGTTGCCTCAAATTTGTGTGGGTGGACAGTCCACGGGCAAAGTCATAAATAACAACATTAGGCAGATGCTTCCAAGACAGAAGCATATCTGCAAAATCCCGTGGACTTTCTGCTCACAGATTACACTTTATACTGTAAACTATGCCACAAGGACACATGATGACAGCCCAACCTCCTGGAACAGACAAAAAAGATAAGCAAATAGTTAAGAAAACATAATCAAATCCCATTAATGACATTGGGACTTAAATGACCATAGGTTATGATGGAGGGCAGTGGCATTAACCTTAACAAAGTATACTTTTAAAAAATTTAAAGATGCAGTGCCTCAGAGATGTAAATACACTCCCCCACACGGAAAGCAACAATACACTCTGGTGTCAGACGAGGCCACCTCCAACACCCCCCAGAGCTGTACACCACCAGTCACTCCCCAATCAGTGCCAAGCAGAAAACAGGACCCATTATGTCTATGTGACTTTGTACATTTCTGATTTATTTGTAATATTTTAATGTGCAACATTGAGGTTTACCTGAAGCAGCCCAAATCTTTTCAAAAACCTTGTCATAGGCCACCCTTGACCTCATCTCTTCCGAAAGTCGCAGGAGTAGATCTGTGCGAGAGCATTTGGCATCTAAACCACACTCTTGACACAGTCTTCTTATCACTCCCACCTATCACATAAAACACACATGTTAAATGAAATGCCAACACTGACAAATAATACATATAATTAGCATTAAATATTTTACTTTCTGTTTTGAAAGTTCGTCCTTTAAGCGATCTTCAGAGACAGTTATTTCTGTTCGTTCTGCAGTTTTTGCTTTGTGCACTTTCTCAAATTCAATGTTGAGAACAACATTCGCTATGCGAGTCTTACTCCCGATCCAGGGTGCCCAAAAGTTGTAACTAGGTGTAACACAAAATGGATTGTTTTTTTGACCTTTAGGACAAACAAACATGTTAGTACATCAGTTAATTTAGATTGTACTCCTGAAAACACTTATGAAATTAAATAATGATGACATGCCATTCCTGATATAATAAATTTCCTTACTTGAAAAAAATCCTTGAGCAATTCGTTCTTCTGTCAGTGCCTTCCAAAACATATCTAAATCCACCTCTCCATTAAAATCTTGTGGAGGCTGTGAAAGATCACTCACTAAAGAAAATAAATACATACTATAAACTTACTAATAGTTTTACTAATAAGACTTAAATCTCTGCAGTAAAAAGGAAAGATATTTACCAGAGAGATGAAAGGATGCCTTCTTGTGGAGGTCCATTATGACCACAGGTGGATTGTCACCACAAGATACACATGAATACTCGTTTTCATGGTCAGTTAGGGCCTCAAAATGCAGATAGCCGTGGAGAAGAGTAACTGCTGAGGGGAACTGTACACCTGTAGTTACCTCTAAGTACTCCACTACTCTGCTGACTGCTGTATGCACCTATGATAAAGAAATCACAGTTAATCAGTACTTATATAGGTAAGGCAAGGCAAGTTTATTTATATAGCACATTTCATACACAATGGTAATTCAAAGTGCTTTACATAAAAAAAGAATAAAAGAGACAAGTATAAGAAAATAAAAACAAAGAATAAAAATTATTTAAAAAACAGTTAAAAACAGAAAATATAATAGTGTGAACTGTCTGACGTAGCACAGTGCTCATTCAGTAAAGGCACAGCTAAACAGATGTGTTTTAAGTCTTGATTTGAATGTGCCTAATGTTGCCTAACATAAAATCAACACTATGAAGAAATCCTATTGTTTTAAAAAATAATATATTGTATAACATATAATATATGTATTGTATAACGATTACCTGCAACAGGTTTCTTATGGTGAGGCAGAGAGAGAGTAAAAGGAGGACATGGTCATTGAAGTTATGCAAACCATTAGCCCACTCTTGGTAACGGTACACCATTCCACAGAAAGGACAGAATTTGTAGTAGGTTGAAATATCTGCAGATACAGAATGTAAAATAAATGGTTTAGTATCTTTTTCAAAATTAAAATAAAATAAAATATGTAAGTAACAATTATCCACCTTGGACAATTCCTGTAGTTGTAAGAATTTTCGCTTTACGTGTAATGCAGACAGGATCACTGAGCAATGTGCGGTCTGAGCAGTGGTAGCACATTGTCTCATCAGGGATTAGGTGTTTTGGAAATTCCTT